TGCAGAAAGGTGCAAATCAAAAAAACATATACTGCATTCTCGCTCACTGGCAGCATCAAAATTGCTCTCCATTTTCACAGCCTGAGAGGAGCTGCAAACACATTCCCTGCTTAGACGCTCCATCTCAACACGTTTCTGTAAGAAATAAACATATATAGTCTGTCAAAATCAATCCGAGTTACTATAAGCGTAGCCTATATGCTAATAAGTTTACTAAATAAATATTATAAGACTAGTAAACATGAACTCTATTTCCGATTTTGATTTGGAACTAAATTAATCACTAGATATAATTTATTTTATCAACAACACAAAAATAACTTCGACAGGTTACGTGTCTATATGCACAAATACAGTAAACACAGAAGTATACATGCATGAATCTATCTACATTCATTCGCCCATAAATATTTACAGCTCATAGTCACAAGCTTTTTACATCATAAAAGATTTGGGATCAACAATTCTCTAGAGATTGGACCAATCCAAAACCACTTACAAAGTTCATCAAACATTAAATTTGAATCAGATGCACAGTTCTAGCTTAAGAATAAAATTTACACAGTTCAAACCCAGACCATATACAGAGATTCTGAACTGACTAAATAAGAATTCATAAAATCCCACCAAATAAATTAGCCCAAAGAAAAATAACAGACATAACTTACCTTGAGAGTGTTAGCTAAGACTCCACCCTTTCCACATAAGCCTCTCCACCTTAAGTTATCAGAAGTATACTTCTTCAATAAGCTGAGCTCCCAGTGGGCTTTGACTGCTTCCCTTGCTGCTCCAAGCAACAATCTATCATGCGAGATGGAAGTTTTCCTTCCCTGTTCACGGTATAACTCAATAGCAATCTGTCCATGTGGCAACCAGTCAATAGGAGCTACATTTACTGCTTCTGCACAATTGAAACCACAGTTGAACCCTGCATGATATGCTCTAGGGAATGTCAGAACAAACTCTCCAGCATTCTGAACACATCGATAGACAGGTACCCCTTCAGATTTTAGTATAGCAGGGGATAGCTGGGTGACCTGCGTGAAAGAATGACATTCAGGGCGTAATTTGTATCATGCAGTAATATTACAGTAATTAAGCACAACTGGGAAAAGAGAAGATCTTATGATCCACTACATTTGCACCGTGACATACAAATTTGTTATGTAAATGCGTCCACTCCATTTACTTTTAACTGGTCGGTTAGGATAGTAAACCAAAGCATCCTAACTCCTCTCAGATATCCAAACTAGAAATGAGACTAGAGGCAGTATAATTCAGTTTGTATATTACCAAAACTAGTTCAGGCTTAAAAAATCATTTTGCTACTTGCTTGGTAAGGTCTATTTGTGATCTCTCAAAAATTAGAAATTTTAATTAATAATCATTATAGCCAGTGCCTTTGAATGTTTGAGCTAGGTTCAGCTTAGAACAGACCTTATCGAGCTTTTTCTTTCTTTTTTTTTGGGCGGGGTTCTTTGTAAAACATGCTATCCTAATAAAGAGTTCTCGTGATTATCTAATAAGTTAAATTCGAGAACCAAGAGTATCTTTCGATACATTTGGCTTCTTAGTGCATTTGACATACTCCAAAACAGTTAACTAAAGTCACCTTTAGCTACAATTACAAATATAAACCCCATATTATAAATCTTTAGCTTACCAGTTTGTGAAGCAGGTCAGGTTGTTCATCAAAAAGGTCAGGCAAATGCTTTTTCATAGTCTCCTCCAGTTTAGGAGCATCCTTTCCAGGGACACCATACCATACTTTTGGAGCACCCCAATGCATGAAATTCAGTGAGTATAGGTGGTGATCTTCAACATGCTAGTCCCATCCACACAAAACAAATGGGAAAAATAGCAATATTAGCAATCCTCAGGTCATCCGTTATATTGTAATGGCCTTAAATGTGACTTCAATAACTCGAAATTTCAAAAGAATCATTTGTTGGCTAACAACTAAGAAAACATAAAATCATATCCACAAATTTCTGCACACTGGGCCAGGTGGCATAATATTTTGTTAAGGGTTTCTTCCATTATTTTGGTAACAAATCCATCCACGTTTCACAACACCATCCTGGAATCACTTTTCAGGCATACCAACCTCTTAACTATTCTTATTATGCCAAATTGAAGGTATGCTATTTGTGGGAGAACCAAATGGAGAATAATGTCACCCAAACAAAATAAATTGACCTGAATTTCCTTTTCACAAGCTAGGCTAACACAAAATTATCAAAAAATATCAGAACCGAGTTTAACTCATGCAAGGGTAAAGGAAGTATATAGCCATTGAAGTCTTACCCAACAAAAGGATGAAAAGCACATTCCTACATACAACCAGGGAACCAAAACCCCCGAAATATCACTGCTTTCATAGCTGAGAACAGATCCAGGAAGCCTGGGAAAGTTATTCAAGTTCCAGCCAGATTTTATGTACTTCTCACTGGATGCAAATCCAACTTGACTGGACTTATTAGGAAACCCACTACCAAAAACCCCAGTTTCCAGATCAGCCCCATATAAGACCTGAAAAAGAAAAGGAGCACAAGAGTTAGCAACTCCTCTTAAAGAGAAAAAAAAGAACAGAGCAGAGCAGATAAGAAAACAACCAGAGTTTGATGGGTCTAGTTGGAGTGTAAAAAAAAAAGTTTGTTGGTGCGAGATTTTTTCAAATACTTCATCAGAATGAAATTGTTTGAGCTATCTATGAACAATTTTCTTTGGTTCACTTGAAACTTCGTTGACTTTGTCTATCAGCTTCTCCAAGTGACACTTTCTAGAATCTCCCATTTGGAACTTCCTAACCTCCAGAAACTCATTTCAGCTTTTAGAAAAGCTTTAAAAATAAAGTTTTCTCAAACTCTTATTTGGTCCCACTATAGCTTCCTGGAGCAGGAAAGTGACTTCAATAGCTCAGGCTATCCTACGCTAATTAACTTAATCAACAGAAAGGAAAGGAGAAAATTTCCAAACTCACAAAACTTACCTCTATTTCCTCAGTTGCTTTCTCCACTATGCGCCAGTATTCACCCTCAATATTCTCAACTGAAGGTTCATGGTGCTCTGGAAGAATGGTCATTTTTCCTTTCATATCTACATCATTTTCCTTCCTCCTAAAGTATTGGGCCTTGAAATCATCAGCATACTTCTGAAACATATCCAGAGTAAACTCTGGACCAGGTTCAAACCCAAACCTCTCTACTTCACAAAATCCAGCATCAGAAGACCATGAGAAATTTCCACCATCAGACCCACAGTCTACAGCCATTCTCATGCATCTTCTCCTTTTCGTCGTATTGTTGTTAACTTTTGACAGTTTTCTCATTGAACCACGATTCTGAAGCTTGTCAACCCTCTGCACAGAGTAGCAAATCCAGAATTTTCCCATATATTCTTTTCCTTAAGAGGGCAAGGAGGCTTCCAAGAAGAGGGAGGAACAATGTGACAGATTCCAAATTGTTCCGCTTTTGGTCGTATGCTAGCTATATACTTCAAAGTATCTTCAAACTCCTGGGATGACATCACAAAACCAGATAAGATATTTAATTCTCTAGTGCAGAACTGCAGCTTTGACCAGTAATAACTATGAGAGGAAAATTATGATATTCAAAAAACTCAAATATTGTAAGCAACATTAAATACCTTTTCTGTTGGGTAGAACACAGGTGCATCCACAATGCCTGGTCTACACGCTTCTTCTGGATGCCATCTTGCAGTTACCTGTTCCACCAATTTACATATCAATGAAATACTATTTGAAGACAATGGCTAAAAAAGGAGAATAGAATATCGATTGTACAATCCAAATTGCATTGTCTAGTTCCTTCATAGTGCTTCAATTACCGGTTTTTGTCACTTTAAGCTACATTACAATATAAATTAGCCGTCATTTAATCCTGACAAAAACTTTAGCACAAGGCATTTCCAATTCATTCTTACATCTACAATGTTGCTATTATAGAGGATAAACATAACATTGGTATTGTAAAAAATGACAATAGAGGCAGGGACGGAGATAGGATCAAATATTGGGAGGGACAAGGTACCTCAGTTCAAAATAATAGGGATCTAAAAAATTGGAAGGGACAAAAGTCTAATTTTACTTAAGTTTAAACTGATAAGGACCTAAAATGCTATTAGACCAAAATTTGGCTATATGCATCCGTCCCTTAATAGAGTGGTGGTGCCTGAGGAAGATAATGAAACATGTAAAAGTTCACGAAACTAGGAAAGAACAAAAGAAGTTGAAAAACTAACCTTTAGGCAGTCATTACACTCTGGACATCCACGGATAACTCCCTTAGGAAGATTATGTTTCAATCTTTGACTCTGCAAAAATGAATGACATATGAAACTATGAAGATGTAGCATTGTCATGAAGTGATGATATAATATTGCTCTGCTAATTTTTCCAAAACCAGCATCCAAGACTACAAAACAAAACAACTTTTTCAAAATGCAAAGAAAAGAAAACAGAAGGTTCAACAAATATATTACAAGAAAAGAAAGCAGAAGTTTCAACAAATAAATTACAAGAAAAGAAGAAACTAACTAGATCAAGCTTTCCACAATTGGGCTCATCTTCTGGACTGCTATCATATATACCATAGTTTGTCCAAGGTCTTCGCCTCAGAGATTTTGTAATCTTTGTGCTTTCATTATTTCCCAATTCAATTTCCTTCAGGGCAGGACTGGCATCAGAACTTCTTGCGGTCACAGAGGCAGAACAATAGTTCTCACTACCACTCTCATGTTTTACAGAATCTTGTGCCCCCCTTGTCAACGTAAAAGATGCATATGACTCAAAACCTGGGGGAACTGATGGAATATCATCGTTCTCTTCTTTAACAAAAACTCTCATAAGTTCAGTCCCCATCTGTATTGCTACACAAGACAACGAATGACACTTCAAACACTACATTCTGTATCTGGAATAGGAACAGTTGAATACAAAACAGGCCTGGCTTAAAAATTAAGAAATCAAAACGGCAGAGCAACATCCTAACTATAATTCTGAACTGCTGTAAGAAGAATTTTTATCTACACAGAATTAGAAAGCAAGTATTAAGAAAAAACAGACGAAACATAACTCAAAATCTTCATTCAATCAAACCATTATGTTCTCACAGACTCGGCATAAAACATGTCAACACTGCAATAATCAATGCAATAAATTTTCAGGTTTTCCACAGAAAACCACATTTCAGTAAGTTAAAGAAGATATGAGGATAATAAGAACCGAGGATGAGTACATTCCAGCATTTTTGGGTATGATAATTACCTATGATCCTTGCTAGGCCATTTCCTGACTATTTTCGGCTGATAGAGCAAGAGAGAGACCAAATAAGTTTTAGGCTTATTCCTGTATAAGTTTCATTCTTGCTATGTCGTAAGGATCAATGCTAAAGTATGCTGCCAGGCCAAACACTTCAAAGCATGAAAAATCACATTTCGTTTGACTCATGCATATGCCAATCCCCAAATCCTAGAATCATGCCATAGATAATAGACAAAATGGAAACACAAATATAATTTTGTATCAAACACCTAAAGTTACCCAAAGAGCAGTTGTGCTTTTTACAAAACTGCTGATCAGATTACTAATATAGCCTGACTAGGTGATTAAAACCAGGGAAGTGATGATCCAGTTGAAATCTATGTGATTTGATTACTTTCAAATCACGATCCCTCAAATGTGAAATGTTGCAATCAAATTTCTAAAAATACTGCTTCTAGAAAGTTCTATATAACAAGAAAATAACAGATTGCATGCCCTTTTGGGATCAGAAATTTTTTTCACCAACTGTAACCTTCAAAAATTCATATGCAACAAATAAGATTCAACATCAAATTCATTTGAACATATTGTTCAGCTTTTCCTAGGGAAAACAAAATCAGCAGACCTAAACAGAATCTATGCTACCTAAACGTCCAGTTAAATCCATGATCATCATGCATTACTGTCTTAATTGATTATTAAAACAGCCCTAAACCCTAAAAGATAACCATTTTATTTGATCCATGAAAATTTCAGAAAAAAATATATAATACAATAAAGCCCTTAAAAATTCCAGTTTACTATTTTATAGTTATCATCAGGCAAAAAATGCAAGCAAAAGATCATAAAAAATATATCCAAAAAATTAAATAAATTATAAAAATATAGAGCTTACATGATCCAAAAGATATCTGCAATTTGGCTTCACTTCAGCAGCTCAGAAAACTCCTTTTGACTACACCAATTTTTCAGGGAGAACAAAAATCGTGAAAACTCACCTAAATTTGAGACCATAACAAAAATAAAGTGGAAAAAAAATTAAAAAGATGAATCTGATTCCAAACAGATCTAAACCTAATCCTAACCTAAAAACCAAATAGCAACACCAGAAAAAAAAAAAAGAAGTTTCTATTTTTATCATAAAATAATAAAAAAAATGATAATATATATTCTGAAATACATTCCCTACCTTCAAAATAAAACCTGCCATAGAAGAATTCCATGAAAATAGAGTGAAGATGATAAGGGTAAATATGGAAGATGAATTAATTCAACAATACAGGAAATACTAACAGATTTTAACATTAAACAAATAAAATTGTTTCAGCTTTTTGTTGTGTTTTTGTCAAGCAATTGAAAGCATAAATGGTATTTACTTTCCCGAGAGGAGTAATCTGGGGAAATATGAGGATAATGTGTGTGTGTTTTTTTTAATGAATTGATTGATTAATTTTACCTGTGGGCTGTTTTTTCTCTGGGGACGCTGCAAGTTATATCAATATAGATCAATCAAATGTCCTACTGAATTTGTTATTATTATTTTAATAAAATAAATAAAAAATTATTTAAAATATTATTATTTATATTTAAAATATTAATTTTTTTAATATTTTCGGTAAAGTATTTAATAATAACAAAATTAATAAAAAATAATAATAAAATCGATAGCGTTTTATCAAATATAATAACAAAATTGATAAAACGTTAAATAATAATAAAATATATAAAAATAATAATATTTCCGATAATTTTTATCGATTTTATTAAAAAATATAATAATAAAATCAATAACACTTTTTTTAATCGTATATTAAAATCGCCGCATGTTAGACTTTTTAGCTAAGTCCGCATGGAATGAATAATAAAGTTTCCTCTTTCCACAATTCTCACACTTGCATCAACTAATGTATGGACCGACCTTATCTATGTTCTTTATTTATTTGACTTTAAAAATAAAATCCATTGCTAGAGTTTAAGATTAAGAGTTCGGGTTTAAGGTTTAAAATTCATAAAGTTATTTTAATAATAAAATAAAATATTATTTTTCTTTAAAGTTTTAAATTTAAACAGTTGCATTTATAAGATGTGTATGTTGTCAATTGGTTAATAAATTTTTGAACATATACTACCTTGTAAACATTTAGACTATTCAAAAAAAAATGAACTCATTAAGTGATATCAGTAATTAAAAGAAGTGTTGTTCTCCCTCGAGATCTTAAGTTCGAACAACTACATCTATAGGGTGTATGAGCATTGTCAATAGTTAAAAAATATATGAACGGATATTACGTTCTAATTATCAAAATTATCCAGAAAAAAAAACTTTAAAAACATATTCTATAAGAAAATTATAAACATCACTAAAAAAAAAGTTGGTCAAAAGATATTATAATATAAAAGTTAATATTCACTTATTGTATTAAATACGGTTTAAAAATATATAATGTAATTAATATAAATAATATTGTATTTGTTTAAGTAGTTTAGATACTCTTACATTTTATAATTAATTTAGATTCGAATTCTCATTTAAATGATTTTATTTATTTTATTTTTTCATCATTAACAATTTTACGCGGTAAAAAAATATTATTGTAATTAATTAACCAATTGAAGCATTTGGTCGAGTGGCTTAGGCATTCAATTTTTAATCCAAACAACCCATTATCAATCCTTCATAAATGACATATCATATCTAATGTGTCTTGATCATATGTTAACATATATCATTTTAGATACGGAAGGTAATTTATTAAATTAAATTTAAAATTAAATGTGTAATTATATTAATTTTATTAATTGTCATATCAATACTTTCATCAAATTGTAATACCCTAATTTTATCCGGGCAATTTAATTCATTTAGAGATGCTTGAGAATTAATTTGGAGGTAATCGTGCTCAAATGAGAATTTAATTCAAATGATGAATGGAAGCTTGCATTTTGGGGACAACATGAAAATCAAGAAACTTTTGTGCTTAATTGGATTGATATCGTATATGTTTCATTTTGGAGATCGAGATACAAATTGAAATTCAACCCCAAATTAAGTGTTTAAAGTCCACTTATAAGTCCAAAATAGATTACAAATATTTATGGACCAATTACAACCCAAATTAATGACAAGCTCAAGACAAACCCAAGACCCGAGCACCCCACGTGAAGGCCTTGTTCTGCTCCATAACACCCGGTCACTAGCTGTGCAAATCTCTCCCACGTGATGCACCGCAATTGATCAGCATCCATGGCTCCCACGTGGATCATTCCAACAACAACCCCCAGAAGCCCATGCTGCTCACGCGTGGAGACAAGGTTCGACTCCCGAACTGCTGCCCATGCTCCGCTACGGCATCATCCAACCTCGATATGGAACACCACGCCTTACTCCATTCACCAGAACTGGGCAGCTCGGTTCCCCAATGCCACTAGCACCATAGTCGAGCAACCCGTGCCCATGCTGCTGAAGCCCCGTGACAAGCTCGCGCCCGTGACCTGCTCGTTCCAGAGCCCTGCAAGCGCACCAAACGAGAGCAGAAACAGACAAAAACAAAACTAGAGAAGACGAGATCAACTAGAAATAACGAAAGGAGAGGGGGTAACAGGATCTCTCTCGGTCATCGGCAACAGAGAACAAAAAAAAAAGGAAACACCAATCTCTCAGTCATAAGAAAACAACAGAGAATACAACCCCAAAAGAACACAAAAAATGAAATACCCAGAAACCAGCAACCATAGAACACAAACCCAACGCAAGACACTTACCCTTTCGATCCAGTAACTTTCGTCACTAGAAATCCACACCCCGTCTGCGATAAGGTAAAACCTTTCGCTTCCCGTTCATTTGAGTCGTGCATGTCAGTTTTAGGTCTCGAGCTTTAGGGATTTGAAGGGTTCGGTGTAGATTTGGTCATATGTTGGCCGGGTAGTTGGATGGTGGCTCTCATCGAAGTCTTTTGGGGAAGGAAAAAGGTCGTGGTGGCCGTGGTTTTTGTAGGTCTACTGGAGAGTGAAACAGAGTGGGATTCGAGGGTTTGGTTTGAGTCATGGGTTAGGGTCGTGTTTATTTTAGGAAGAGGTCTGCTTCGAGTTATCGTCGGGGCTTGTGTGGCTCCCCATCGGAGCCGTTGAACGACGGAGGCTGCGGTGGCCTTCTGTCTCGTTTAGGGTTGAGAGACGGGAGAGCAGAGAGGATATGGGAGAGGCAGAAAACGGCTGAGGTGAGAATGAGAGGCTTAGAGGAAATGGTTTAGGGTTAGGAATGTTACCCTAAAATCCCATATATCAGAATACCCAAACGGCGTCGTTTAGATACCCCCAAACGGCAACGTTCTGATAGCCTGAGGGAATCCGTGTTTTGGGATGGGTGGTGTAATCACGTGTGAGGCCCAGTATGTTCAGTCTGTTTCATTTTAGTCCCTTAACCGAGCTTTACCGTTTTCTGATTTTGCATTGTAATTTTTTGCGTGATTTATTTTAGTCCAATTTCAGTTTTGAGCTATTTTCGTGTTGTTTTCAATTTAGATGTGTGATTTAGGAAACTTCCATTTAATCCTATGAAGTATTTTGGTTGTATTATGTTTGCAGTACCCAGAAATGAAAATGTTATGAAAAGCTTATTGTTATTTTTTTTCATGTTTTAGTCCTTTTAATATTTTATGCATGTCTGTTAAGATAATTTAGATTTATTTTAAATATATGCATGTGTATATTATTTCGAGCATGTTGTCCATACGCACTTAGGTGTATTTCTTTTTAAAGCATGTTAGCCTCGTTTACTTTAATCGCATGTTCAATTAATCTTTGCATTAACATCACTTTGTATGATTTGCATGATATCCTCATATGCATAACTTGACATTATTGCATAATCGGAATTAAGGGTAATGCCCTTTTAATCTAAAATTATCAGAATGGCTTTCCTTAACTTACAGGAAAGTTGTTTTGACGATTTTAAATTAAAATGGTATCCCGTCAGTAACGCCTAATTAAATTTGGATATATCATTGTAAAATTTGGGAGCTAAAGAAAAGGAAATATTCGACTATTTAAACTTTTCGAGAAAAGGTCGTTAGAACTGAACTAAAGATCTGGTCTCGATATTTTTAAATAATCGAATATTCTTTGTCTTTCTAATGACTTGGTAATTTTAAATTAAATCTATTTTGTTGCTTTGAATGTTGCAAATTTGCATGTTTGTCATTTAAAGGGATCATTAATCAAATCAAATTTGAACTTGTGAAATTCGTTGCAAATAAATTAATTAATCGACTAGGTACCGATTTAGGGCGTTGTGGGGGGTGCTAATCCTTCCCCACACGTAATCGACTCCCGAACTCAGATTTTGATAATGCAGACCTCTACTTGTCGTTTTAATTAAAATTAATTTTTATTTAAAATGACAAAATGTTTTTGGGTGCCCAATCACACCCTAATCAAAGATTAGTGGCGACTCCTCGAACCTTATATTTTTACCGTAACGGAATTTCCAATTTTTCGAAACGAGAGGTTTTCTAAAATTGCATCGTTTTTAATTAAAAATTCAATTGAAAAGAGAATAATTAAAAATGACGCGGTTTTCAAAGTCTCACCCCCACCCCCGTTTAAAAATTGTTTCGACAGCTTGGCGACTCCGCTGGGGAGACTTTTTAGAGAGTCAGGCCTATAGTCGATTAATTAATTGTCTTTGCAAACGAAAGTTATAAGTTCGCTTTGATTTGGTTTTTGATCCCTTATTTGTTTGAATTGTTTTGTGTGCATTTTAATTTGTAATTTGGGTTAATGAGTAAATAGTTGTACTAATGTGTGATCTACATGTTTTCAGTTTTCTGACTTTCACTTTAGTCTATTGTTTCTCTTGGATCGAGGCAAAGATTATGAGTTTCCCCACTGTTGCTGTAAACCTTTAATATTTAGAGCATTCTAACTGTGCTCTGTCCCGTTAGGTAGGGGTGAAAGCTACGCTTACGTGAGAAAAATTACTTTTCTCCGCATGGGCTTTAGCTAGTAACCTCTGGGGTACATGCCTTATGTTTACGAGTGAAACATTGAGTTTCCTCGCATGGACATAGGGAAATGTATCCTCTCGAAATTGAACTTGATCCGTTTTAAGCCTATAATGGGCGAGGATCGAGGGTCTGGCAAGCCCAAGGGGGCACCAGCAAAGGACAATTCGAGGACCCTTTTAGTGATACCAGAACTCTACCCGTCCTATGCTAAATCTCTGTCCACAGACACAAAGGGGAAACTCATTCTAACTTTTCCCTCGAATTTATTTTTTGCAAAAAAGTATGCGAACTAGAGATCATGTGGTTAGGT